CCGCCGCCGCTCACTCTAGGCCTCCGTGTGTGACGCTGTTTTGTTGTGAAAGCGAAACTACTTTGTTTGGTCTTCCAAAAGAGGACACGACTAAAAATCAGTGGTTAAGTTGTATTTACAACACTGTTCCAGAACAGTTCAACCCAAATATTCAGATGTGAGCAACGCATTTTATGGAGGATGAGGACTGTTTCCTGGGAGAGTATAGCCTACAATGCTGGTGTTCTGACAAATAATGCTGGCTCAAAGCCTGTAAGTACACTTTCATATTTAAAGGATTTGCCACTGAGGATTCAAACGTGAGTTTTGAGCAGTGTAGAGTAGTGTTTGTTGTTTGTTGTTTCTCTGATCACAAATGCAGACATGGTTTTATGTTTACACGGCGCGATCCAACGCAACGCGTAAAAAGACAGTATAAGTCATTATAATCAGTAATTATGCCTCATTTATAATGCGTTTTATTGGTTTTGTCTCGTCGCAGGATCACGGCATCACAGTATGGTAAGGGGCGTAACATTTCCATCACAAAAATCGACGCATTTCAGAAAGGCGGGGCATAGAGGAGAAACAATAATGTACAATGTGTGGAAAATAATGTGTTTTTTAAACCTTAAACCGCATAAACACATTTCATTACACCAAATACACAAAATAATGTCATATGACCCCTTTAATAAAAAATAAAATTATACTAAAGTAACACTGAATATTGTGTGTCCTTATAAACAGTCAGATTTTTCAAATAATAGGAAACTTAGCTGCTCACAAACTTCACATGTATTAGCTACTCAAAACTAGTTTGCTCATTATTGTGGCTTTTGGAAAACAAAAATCACAGCATTATTTTGTATGATCATTTCTAAGGGGAAAAAGGAAATGAAATGAAGGTTTCTGATACGCCAACGCTGCAGGAACTGCCGCTGATATACGGTGGACACTGTACATCTGTCTTATTTCCCCCCACTTTGCCTTTCTTCATCTGTTTGTTCAGTCCTTATCAGCAGAGATAACGCAACAGCCTCTGTTTTGTGACAGCAGCCTAATAGGACGGTAGGTGTGTTGATCTGAACACTGTATGTTCGCATATAGTTTCACTGTCTTACCATGCAGACTGGGCTAGTTTCCACAAAATAAAAAAAATATTAAGCATTTTCAACATTGATAATAATAAGAAATGAGCAGCGAATCAACATATTAGAATGATTTCTGAAGGATCATGTATCAATGGAGTAATGATGCTGAAAATTCAGCTTTGCATCACTGGAATAAATTGCATTTAAAAAAATATTTAAATAGAAAACAGTTATTTTAAATAGCAATAATATTTCATAATCTTGATTTTTCTGTAATTTTGAGAATATAAATGCAGCCTTTGTGAAGATAAAACTTCATTCAAAAAGACCTTACAGACCGAAACAGTAGTGTCCTTGGTAAACATTAACATAATAATGCTCATTCTTCTTCCTTTCTGTCAGAACGCTCTCCTCACCGGCCCATTCTTCAGGCAGGCCTTCCAGCCAACGTCACTGTGCAAGTCGGAGAGGACGCTAAGTTTGTCTGCAAAGTTTACAGTGACGCTCAACCTCACATCCAGTGGCTGCAGCACATTGTGAAGAACGGCAGCCATTACGGTGCTGATGGACTCCCTTATGTCCGGGTGTTGAAGGTAGGCTTGGTTTTCATTTTGGCTGCATAGGCCTCTTTTTTTCCATGTATTTTATCCTTGCATTTTAGGGAACATGCATGTTTTGATACAGTTGATTTATTTTAGAAAGAATGAGAAGATGCAAAAACACTTTATTCTTGCAGAAGATATTCTCATATATCTTATTCCATGTAACGGGTGGTGCTGCCTCCTTTTCTGCTCTCCTAAAGAGTAAGTTCCCATATGTGTGTTTTTGTCCCTTGTTGCGGCGCCCCCTAGCGTTCGGGCATAAACAGCTCGGACGTGGAAGTGCTCATGCTCACCAACGTCACGGAAGAGGACTCTGGTGAATATACGTGCCAAGTGTCCAATTATATCGGTCAGGTCAGCCAGTCCGGTTGGCTCACTGTCCTACCAGGTAAAAACGAGACCGAGACGTCGATCCCCCGGCGTCCCCTTCCCCACTGCTGGTGTTTTGGGTTGTTTTTTTGTCGTCGTGGTGATCCTGAGATTTTCGCTGAGCCGGTGTGGTGTGGTCTGGTGTTTTTCTTATTTTTTGGTGAATCTTTCCTGGTGCCCAATCAGCCATGGAAACAAGCCTTTGGTCTGTCATTGCCACTGCCTTCCTGCCTTCTGTTCTGTGTCAAGTTTCCCTCCTACTTTTTCCCCTTTGATTTATCACTTTTCTTCAGTACTTTCTTGGCGAAAAGGCAGCGGCTTGTTTTCCATGTTTCTTCACTTGTGTTTGCATGAACCCTTGAGGATCTGGTGGGTTCACCTGTGTTGGGTACAGAGATTTCGGCCTTCGTTTAGATGTACGTTTATTTTACGATTTTATCCTGCCCTTCCTATTTGACGATCTTCTTCTCTCCCGAAGTGGAACATCTACCATCTCTGTAATGCGTAGATGGGAAGTACAACATTGAACATCTCCTTTTCTCTTCTTGGTATTATGGGTCTGATTTGTTTCTTTTCTTTTCTTTCTTCCATCCATTCTTGTATCTCCCTCCCATCTTCCTCTTCTCCTGCGTTTCCTGCTTTGTTTCTCTCAGACGGCAGGTGTGAACACTACGGACAAAGAGATCGAGGTGCTCTACCTGCCTAATGTAACTTTCGAGGATGCGGGCGAGTATACGTGCTTGGCGGGTAACTCTATTGGGATCTCCTATCACACTGCTTGGTTGACGGTGCTTCCAGGTATACACTCGTCCTCTACTGCTTCCGTACCTACGCCTCCTTTTTGTCGAAGCCACGTTGGTTGATATCGCACCATTGGTCTTTGAGAGGGAACAAGAGGCACTTGGGACGGTGCTCAGCAGTGCTTGTTTTAGAAGCATTATACTAGATTTTAGGGCTGGGATAATAAATCGATGCATCGCGAATCGAGAAATGATTCTGCTGCATCGATTCTGAGATTTTCCGAAGGCATCGCAGTTCTCTCTTGAATCGATTCTGAGCTTAGTTTTTAACAGCAAATGGAGCTGCATGCTTTAGAAATAGCTGTATTCTGCTTGCTTCCAGTTCCTTACACATGCACCATTTGAACCTAAAATAATCATTCATAAAGTTCGAAAAGGTTGAAGCGAATTACAAGGATGTTCACAGTGGGCTGTGTTTACATTAATCTCGCTGATGTACAAGTACATTTAACCACTTACATTACTCAGCCGAACGCACAAGCGCTCTTCTTCGTGAGCGTTTGAGTGTGCGGTTAAAAACTAGCCTAGAGCGCCATCTGCTGTTAAAAACTAAGCTCAGAATCGATTCGAGAGAGAATCACGATGCATTCCGAAAATCTCAAAATCGATCCACGAATCGCGATGCATCAATTTAATGTCCCAGCCCTACTAGATATGCTATTAGAGTTGGTAATATTTCACTAAGAAAAAAATGTCCGCACACTGAAATTACAGATCTAAAAAATTATTTATAAATGTATTAATAATTGATTTAATTTTTTTAATTACATGTAATTTTTATATTTTCTGTTTAATTTTAGTTTGTTTTAGTAATGTTATTGTGTTTTTGTCATTTTTAAATGTCTGCACTGTTTATATATATAATAAAATTAAAAATAAAATATAAAAATATACAAAATAAAACTGCACCCAAGTGTCTCGAGATCTCTATTATTTTCAATTTTCTCTTCCCAACTAACATTTTAGTGGTTGCATGTTTGGAAAGACGTGTTTTGATGGAATAGTTAGTCTAAAATTACAATTCTGTCATTATTTACTCACCTTCATGTTGTTTTAAAGTTTGACTGACTTTCTGTATAACAACAAATGAAAAAATGTCCAGATATATCAAAGAATTTGTTAAATTGCGAATGGAAGACCTAGAGAATTTGTTCAGTAGTCTGTCCTTTGCACAAAACTGCACACAAAAAAAATTGTAAGACTATATTGCATGAGTCTTAAGAACCGTATGGTCACCATATTGTACAAAAACGAGCAATGTTTTGTTGACGAACGAACGTCAGATGGGTTTAAAATGACATGAGGGTGTTAATGATGATAAAATATGTCCTATATGTTTCAAAGTCTTTTTCCATTTCAGCTCTAATAACTGCTTTGTTCTCTAAAGAAAGTCTCAAGATTTGCTTACCTTCTCACATGCTGGACTTTCTTAGTTATTAGAGCCACTTCACAACCTCTGTGTCTGTGCCTGTGTGTGTTTTTGAGTGTGATTTAGAACAGAAAGGTTTAGATCTTTTGGTAAATTTTTTAATAATTTGGACAGGTTTAACTGAATATTAGTGAATTCAACATAGTTTTACGAAAACAAAGGCTATCTGTCGTCATGCACAAGACAGCATCCTGTGTGCATGCTAACATGCATAATGCAACAGTGTGCACCTCACTACATCCTGACCAGGAAACAGACCAAATCTTTGACCGCAAATGGCACCACTTACTGGTCTGCGGTCAGACAGATGGAAGTCACTGTGTTTGCGTGCGGTGTGTGTGTGTGTGATCGTATCCATGAAGTGTGCATTTCTGAAAGACCTCAAGTGTCAGGAAGTACTTCAATACTGTGGTCATATGTAAACCATTTTGTGAGCGTGTGTATGTTTGCAGGGGCCATTGAATGTCAGGAAATATGCTATGATGGAAAGAAAGATCACCAAGGAGATCTCTATAATATCTCAGTTATTAAACTGAGATCAAATTGAGGCTTAAGTCTCAGATTTTTCTGCTAAGACACCAGAAATCTCACGTGTCTTAATATGAACTCCAAACTTCAAATTCGTTTTATAGCTCTTACTTAAAGGGTTAGTTCACCCAAAAATTAAAATTCTGTCATTAATTACTCCCCCTCGTGTTGTTCGAAACCCGTAAGACCTTCGTTCATCTTCGGAACACAATTTAAGATATTTTTGATGAAATCTGAGGGCTCTCTGACTCTCCCATAGACAGCAAGGTAACTACCACGTTCAAGGTCCAGAAAAGTACCAAGATGATCGACAAAGTAGTCCGTGTGACATCAGTGGTTCAACTGTAAAGTTACGAAGCTACGAGAATACTTTTTTGCACAAAGAAAACAAAAATAACGACTTTTTTCCACATTTCCGTCTCTACTGCGTCACTTGTGGACGCGCGTTCACGACAGTATCATGATGCGAGCGTGTGGCGGCGCTGACCCAGATCCGGCGTAATGACACACGGACTACTTTGTCGATCATCTTGGTACTTTTCTGGACCTTGAACGTGGTAGTTACCTTGCTGTCTATGGGAGGGTCAGAGAGCCCTTCGGAATTGTGTTCCGAAGATGAACGAAGGTCTCACCCTTTAAGTTGATACTTAAATGAAGCGTTTTCTGAGCTAAGCATGAGGAACATCTAAATAAAATTTCCATCTGACTACTTTGTAGAACATTTAATAGTTTGAAATTGATCAATATATCAAGTGTGTGTGTGTTGGTTCATCTTGTAATTCTTTAGTCACCTTCATCTTTTCCTCTCCTGTTTTGTTATCACTGGCAGAACATCTTGCTCTGAAAACCTTAATGTCCTTCATAACCATCTTAAAACGGTGCTGTGTCCAACATTAAGGTTTCTGGTGCGTTATTCCTCGGCTGTATGACTTGAGGAGTGTCTTAAATCCTTCTTAGCTTGTCGCCTCACTTCTTTCTGATCCTTCTCGCTGCTCTACAGCTGAGCCAGACCCCAGCGAGACGGACTATCCTCCAGACTATGTGGAGATCGCCATCTACTGCATAGGCGTCTTTCTCATCGCCTGTATGGTGGTGATCGTGGTGGTTTGTCGAATGAGGACGTCGGCTAAGAAGCCTGATTTCGGGAGTCAGCCGGCAGTGCACAAGCTGACCAAACAGATCCCTCTGCGCCGCCAGGTAACAGAAAGTAGATAAAGAGTTCTAGAGATCTTATACACACCTGCATACACACACTAATATAAGAATGATTTATCTTTGAATTATGAAATTAGTCTGGGTTTCTAAGGCAAGTTTATGCTTAGTGATTCGAACCAGCCTCTTATTTTGTATTGCATTTTGGCATCTAACTTGTTTTGGACATTTGTGCTACGGACATAAATGATTCTTCAAATCATCCAATCATGTTTTTTTAATGTAATATTTAAATTTATTTTTATGTATAATAAATCATGATATTTTAATGCAATTTATTGTATGAAGATAATTGAGCCAGAGATAATTGAGAAGATAATTGCATAATATGACTTTTTATATTTATATTTTATATATGATGATATCTTTTATTGTATACATTTTATATATAATGATTTCTATAATATATTTATTATATGTAAATATATTTTAAAATATAATCTCAATTATTGGTATAACATGTTGAATTTTACATGATTAAGATGTATATCATGTATTATATAAAGATAACTGAGACTGAGATAATAGAGAAGATAATTCTATTCTAAGTGACTTTTATATTTATAATTTATTATTTCTTATAATTTATTTATAATTTATATTTTTGATTATAACTTTATATATAAAATATATATTTTTTACATATAATCTACTTTATGAATGTGAATAATAGAATAATAGAACAGTTGTTCATATATGTATATATATATATATATATGAACAACTGTTCTATTATTCTAGATCAAATATTTAAAAAAAGTTTGTAAATTTTAGTTTTGTACAGCAGTGCCTTTGTTGTAAATTTTTGAATAACATGTCAAGATTTTTTGTTGAGAAGTTGAAGGTATGCTATATGGTGGTAAGTTGGAAACATTCTTTGAAACCATTACATTTTGAGCAAATTTATGATGCATTATAAAACCTAAAAAAAAAAAGTAAAATAAAAATGCATGGCTTTTAGGTGTAGGTAACTTCAATTAAGCCTGATACCTTACCCTATATTTTGTGCTATTATTTGTATCATGTAAGTCACAGCTTCCTGTATTGATAATGTTGAGCTGCTAAATGCACACAATCACAAACACACATGTAGGTGTTAATAATGTTTGGTGCTGTCTTCAAGACTCAGGTGATCAGCCATCCATCTTTCCCCTTACAGGTGTCGTCTGACTCCAGCTCCTCCATGAGCTCTAGCACACCATTGGTCAGGATCACCACTCGCCGTAGCTCCGCCCACGACGACCCCATCCCAGAGTACGACCTCCCTGAGGACCCGCGCTGGGAGTTCTCCAGAGACAAGTGAGCAATTTCAGCCAGGTTGATGAATCCCACATACACACTGCAGCTAAATTCGGTTGTCAGTTCACCTTCTAGTGCTTAACCCTGTTCTGTACACACAGTTCAGTTTTACAGGGTTGTGGCTAGAAGGGATACAGCTAAAACCGGAAGCTAACAATAAATTAAATTTTCTACCTATTAGATTGCGTTTTATTAATGTCTACACCTACCCCAACCCTAAACCTACCCCTTACAATAATGAAAAAACAGTAATTATCATTGTACCGTGTGACAAAAAATTACGCTATATTGATGTGCGCATGCCCAATATACGAATTTGTATACCATCTAGCCTTAACCTTTTTTACGGGAGTGACAACCGCATTCTCCAACCAAATTGACTCCTGAAAAAAATTTAGGTAGTGACAGCTGCATTTATGGAAATTCTACACAGTGTGTACGAAACCAACCGAACAACTGGTTGTTAATAAAGCAATAAGCCCCAAGAAGCCGCGGTTTACAGTGAATTTATAACAGCTAAGGGGCGTTGTTAGGCACGACGCGAAGCGGAGTAAACCACGGCTTCACGGGGTTATTGCTTTTATAAAATGGTTATTCCGTATTCGTAGTTAGGTTTCACAAAATAAAACAGAGCAAATAAAGTGTAATGATATTAATAAAAACAGTATTCTTCCACCAAACAATGTAGTTCCTCAGAATCGGTTGTGGTTGCAACAAAGTGGTTGCCAAGCAACAGACAAACGTAAACAAAGGTGTATGTTTGTAGAGTAATATACAACAGCTTCGAACGCGGCTCAACCAATCAGAATCAAGGACCGGAACTATCCGTTTTATAATGATGTATTTAAACGCGTTTCAGAGTTGTGTTTTTTTTTCGGTATTTGAGGTGCAAGAAATCACAGTGTTTGTTTTGACTCATTAGTTTTGCCAGATCTTGCTAGAAAAAAGCGACAAATAAAAACAAGCCCATAATTAACTCAATCCAAATGTGTTATCTTGAGAATAAGCCACAAACCAAAATATAGCGATCTGCCTACTTTATTAACATAAACTGGATTGCGTAAAGAGCCGAGCCCAAAGATGCTTAATAATAAGTGGACATGGCAACCCTTCAACCTTCCAAATATAAACAAAACTCAACGGTGGTTTAGTTGAATTCACTGAACGTAACGAGTCTTTGGTTGCTGTCATATTTCATTGGTTAAAAATAGCGGATACTAAACGTGCATGACGGTAAAACGTTGCTATTGTTACCATGGTGTCAGTCATCGCAGTTTCTAGTCGTGTTTCGCGTTTGTCACTTCAAAGCATAATCTTGCATTTTTCCACTTGTAAATCATTGTGATGTGAAGCTAATCTCCTTATACGCTTACAATCCCATTATGTCTAATTATTAACCTGTGACTTATGCAGGCGCAATGTACAATCAATCATTCATAACGCAACACAGGCCTCTGTTCGGTAGCCGTTATTATTCTTAGAGAAACCAAACACACATTTTTCTCATTATATAATGGAATATACAAGTGACTACCAGATAACTTTCTGTTAGCATCACATATTCTCTTCTGCCACTGTGACCTCGATTGATCGTGTGACTAATGAGAGAAACTCAGACTCTCGGATGTTTTACAATGGATCCACTATCGTGGTGTTGCCAAAACATTACAGATTCCTAATTAATGACTAAGAAGGCCTGCTTAAGCAATCTGTAACAAAAATGGTGGTTAAATAGGAGTCTGTTTGTACTTTGATTGTCTCAAGGATGATTTGTAAGCAGTTTAACATGCTATTATTCAACTCCAAACTCGAACTAAGTTTTATTTATTAAATTAATGGTTGAAACCCAACAAGTGCAGGTGGAGTTGCTCAGTTTTTACTGGATTAAGCTGTTCATGATTTAGTGGATAACAGTCCTTACATGTTCACAACTAATGGCCAGTAATGTTAATTATATTTTTGACTTCACACCCACTAAAGGAATTGTTGCCTTTGGGCAGACAAGCTAAGACGTGTTTTTGTAAGGAGCGCAAGACTTACGGAAGAAAAGATTTTGTTAGAAACCTTTCCAACAAGAAATGTATTCAACCGGCAACCATATCAATATTGCCCGATATTGTCTTTCTCTCTTTCTCTTTCTAATATTGAAAGTAGATAATATTCAGGGCCTACATTTTTCAATTCATAACAGTAAATAGTGAATCAGTGTTAATTTTGACAGCAAATTATTATTTAGTTTTAGTCATAGTCTTTTGACTAAAATGCCATTTAGTTTTAGTCGTATTTTAGTCATCTGAATTGTTTTTAGTTTTAGTCTAGTTTAAGTCGACTAAATATCATAAGATTTTAGTCGACTAAATCTACAGTAAATTTAGTCGGCTAAAATCTAATGGGTTTAGTTACAGTGCATTTATTAAGCATTTCTCTAAAATTTCCAAACTCATTATATAGGTTTGATATTAAGGTTTTATCATGATAGACACCGGTTTAACTGCGGTGACACACAACATGCCTTTATGTTAAAATTAAATAAAACCACTTCTCATAAAGAATAAGAACATGGTCTTCTTTTTAATGAAATACCAATGGTTATATAGGCTAATTATGGATTCTTTATAGCAATTTGTTTACCATATTCTTCATTCTTTCAAGCAGACATATTTATTTCTATAAATAAATTTAGATTAATCTTTAGGGCTACTAATGTTTTTCAGTCAAGAGCAGTGCGTGATTTTCTGTCTTTCTTTTGTTGCTTGATTAACATCAATGACTCGGACAATAGCAACTAAATTAGGCTGCTGTCCCTTTAAAACCGAATGCACAGCTGCAATGGATGCAATGTACTGATACACGTTCTCCCTACTGTTTACGTTCACTTAAGACGTAATCAACTGTGTTTACGTGAATACTCGTCAAAACAGACAATTCGACATCATTTTGTGTGTAATTCACCGTTCATGCGACGCTAAAGAGTACTCGCGCGCTGTGAGACCCGCTTTCTGTGTGTGTGTATGCCTCAGAGTCTGCGCTCAGAAAACCGGACCGAATTGATTTCTCTCTTGCGTCGTCAGATTTATCCATATGTCTGCTCTTCTCTTACTCCCACATATTGACATTTTTGAACGTTTTATGCGACGTGCAGCAAGTGTATGTTAGCTTATGTCCCGGCCCGCTGATTCATATATCTAACCTCCGAACCACGCAAGCAGATTCGTTCTGAATGAATCTCTTTCCCAAATCGTCCCTCCCTAACGTTTTCGTCTCGTTTTTATTCGTTGATGAAAATGTCAATAGATTTACGTCATAGTTTTTGTCATTTAAAAAGAGTTTTAGTTCGTCTGTGAAAAAAATGTCGTTGACGAAAATTATGACAAAAATAATTCCTCAAAGAAATTAACACTGTAGTGAATTGTTATTGTTTCAAAAATACTATACAGTTATTTGTCTTTTTTACTGTGCATAATGCTTTCATAACCGATTTTACTGGAATCATATTGATTCTAGATGTTTTGAAATGATCAGTCTTGTATGTACATTTTTAAATATTTTTCTTATATAAAATATTTAATATATTATAAATTACTGTATTTTACTGTACATAATATTTTGATAACTGATTTTACTGGAAGAATGAAAATGTTTTCAATTAATTTGCACATTTTTAAAATTATTATTAAATATCATAAATAATAATAAATAATAATAATGTCGTTTTACTGTACATAATATTTTGATGAGCTTTACTGGAAACATTTCAATTCTAGGTTTTTCAAAATCAATTTCTAACATTTTTTTAACAGTACTGTCATATACAGTTAATTTAAAAAAAATTATTTTAATTATTCATTATACCATTTATTATAAAATTGCTTATATATTAATTAATTAATATATTACATACGTCTAATACATATACATTAGACATAAATATTTATTTATTCATTTATTCATTCTCAGCACAAAGTTTTAAGCTATTACGTTTTTTTTTTTTTTTTTGGACTG